TTGATTAAAACTTTATGACTTTCTGAATGTATGCAAATATAATGTCACCGGAGTGATGACACCGGACATGACGTTTTCAAATAATACATAATAATTGGCTATTATTGCCTTTAATCTTAAACCTAATAATTAATTATAATAATTCCATAACCAGATTCGTTATTAAAAGTGCCATGTATCGATGTTGCGATTTAGCCTTAATAATACGATACAATATCATCTGCACACAAATTATCTCCACACAAAAAATTAATTAGATTTAAGTATCCCGTATTCCTTATTGCCTGCGAATGATAAATCATGATTAAGCGTCGACGATGAAATCAATCTGTTCATCGTTACGCCATGAGTGAGTCAATGAATTTTAGAAGATTTCCTCACGCGAAACGCAGAATCAATGTGCTCGTAATCCAGTTAATTAAACGGCAGGTACCTTATCTCCTTTATATCTCTTTTAAATTATTTCTTACTAAGAATAAAACGATTAGTTTAAAAACACAGCGTATATTTGCTATCCCACAAAACCGCGTCTATTCAAATAGATCGACGTACCGTCACAGTCTCCGAAGCCGACCGCCTCGTATTGGTAGTATCGTAGATACATCCTCTCGCTCTCACATCGCGGATTCGCGTCGGCTTTTGCACGGTCTCTAAATCGTGCTTGTTAATCCCAGGAACGTTCTCCTTTGTCGAGGCGAGAAAGCGAACGGCCGACTCGAGAAAGCAACAACAACTCGATAGTTCAATGCAAAAGGATTACAATTTAAAAAAAAAAGAATGATTTTTCAGGTGGTACTTTTTTTTTTCATTTTAATGAAAGGAAAACTTTGTGAGTATGTGTGTTGTATGAAATTATGTACTTTTGTATATTCTAGTTATTAGTGGTTTATGAAAAAAATATCTCTAGGTTAAATGATTTTATTTGTTTTTTTATTTTTATATATATATATATTTTTTTATGACAGTAGAAAAATGGATTTCCTTTCTCTTGGCAATACCAACTGAAAAATTCATTAATCCACGCTACATCTCTTTTGCATTAAGTCGGCGAATTAAGTGCATTTCACGATTACGCTATTGAGTATTTCGTGTCTCAGTGATCCTGACGAGTGTATTTAGCGAAATGTATCAGGAAAATTTTATCTATAGATATAAGGCACGACGCACGCGCGTTTGCGATCTCGCATATCTAAGTAAGGCTAAGCCCACGATCTTATTTTAAGAGGCCGTAAGCTTGTAAGTGATGATATATCGGCCACAGAACTTATGCTTTTAGGCCGTAAGAATTGAGTTTTGCTCAATTCGCTTAAGTCTAACGGTTAAAGCCTAAATCTGCGCGAAAAGTTTAAAGACAGAAATTATTGTCACTTAATCACTTTCGACTTATGACTTAAGCCCTCTTAAAGCAAGGCTGTGGACCTACTCTGTTTCTGCATCTGTTTGTATGACCGAACGAGTTAAGCGTTAATTGTGAGTTGCATGTAAACATATCTATAGAAAATTGAGGCACCATGAATAAATGTACAGCTATTGTTGCGCCGTATGCATTGCGCATATATTAATGATAAAATGTCAGCCTACGTCTGTGCCTTCGAGACAAATCAATTTAGGATGTCGCTGAATTTAGAAAGATAGCGCAAACGCAAGGTTAAAAAAATAAATATGCTGATGTAAGCTGATGCAGCTGAAAGAAGAATGACAATCATTAACCTTTACAGGATGAGGAAGCCATTATAGTGACTCTAAAAAAGTGTTACATTATGAGACAAGAAATAATGAATTATAACAAATGGTCAAGAAAGAGCTGTAAGATTTTAATTTAAAAATAAACCGCAGTCCTCTAAAGGTAAACGATACTGTCGCACTTTGGACATTGTTACGTTCTTTATGTTAAATATGAATAACCGCGCCAATATCACTCCAATACTTTCATCAATTTTAATTTTAGGCTGACAGAACAGTAATGAAACGAGCAATTTCAGGCTGTTCGCGGCACATGCGCGAAATCACTTCCTAACTAAAAGACTGTTTTAAGAGCCTGGATCTGTCGAGGGAAATTCGTTCATTTGCAATCACAATTAATCGTGTTACACTTTTACAAAATTGTTTATCTTACTATTATATTTTGTCTCCGGTTTTAAACAATGAAAAACTAAATAAAAAGATACTCTCTAAACTTTTTAGAGTGAGACACTCTAAAAAGTGAAATGTTACTTTTAAAGATTAAAAAGTGAGCCACTTTTTTTCAACTGGTTCAATTTTTACTCTTTGCAGTCAGATTTCACTTCAAACAATTTAGAGAGTAAGATACGTATAAAGGTGCTCTACATAATTCGCAAATCGCAAAACGTACTTCGCAAACGCAGAATGACGATCACCGCACACAAGACACACACAGACGAAAACCAATTGCATGCAATGAAAAAACAAACGCAAATCTGCGTCTGCGTTTGCGAACTACGTTTTGCGATTTGCGAATTATGTAGAAGCACCTTAAGATGATGTAGTCGCAAAGGTGATTAAAATGACTGATCAACTGAAAATAAAGTTGAATGATTTATAGTTAATATAAAGTTAGTCACTATTAGTTTAAATAAATATTATGTTCTATACGTATATGAAATATAATTTGTATCTTTATAATGCTTTCAAAGTTAATACGTAAGGATCCTTAAATAATTTTGATAGTCGCGGATTCCGTGATCGTACAGATCCAGCCTGTTGGAAGGGCATTTATCCTAATGATAATTCTCCACCCGAACCGTCATCACGGCTTCCCGGCGATGCCCCTCTTATTCTACGTACCCCGTTACTCCCACATTAATATCTCGTTAAGTATAGTGACTATTTCTACATTATTTACAGAGCGTTACAAACGTTAGCCAGTAACGTTCGTAAGGTTCCTGCTGAGATGCTTCACTCGCCACATTTGCGGATTCGTTGTAGTTACAGTTTACATATCCAATAGGCATTTTTTGATATATCCAAATAAATGTGTTTTAGCGTAAAAGATGGTTACAAATCAAATTTTATGGTCGCGAAGTATGAATGGAAATAGGAATAAGTTTCGTAGGAAGCAAAGGTAACAAGGATAACACGTAGGTTTAGCATAAATAACAGTGATGGGTGAAGCATCTGGAACACAATAAATTATCAACTGCCGTCAACACATAATCTCTCAACCTTAAAATCATTGTAACCTCTGAGAACGTTCATCGTTTTTCGCAACGTCCAGCAGAGCGTCGATCGCCTTTGTTAACCCGTTGCCTCGCGAACATCTCTTCAACATCTGACTTTCCTCACCGTCTTTTTTGCTCTTAGCCACTCTCGCGAGGTAGCGGGTCGACATCCGTCGGATTCCTCGCCCGATCGATCGCTGTTCTCGAGCCAAGAGCACGTTCTCGAGAACGGCCGACGAGGTTGCATATTTGAAAAAAAAAAAAAAAATCGATATTATAGGCTCGCTACTTTACAGGAATATGCTACAAGTATGGACTTTGGAGCGTCTCTCCATCTCTCAGTTTCTAAGCTCGTCGTGCACGTATCAATGGAACGCGTCCAACACATTCAGCGACAATGGTGGCGTAATGGGTGGCAAATGGTCACCGCAGGTCGGGAAATTCGGTGGTATCGGCGGCAGATCCCCTTGCGTCCCCACGTGCAGAACCAGATTCATGCCGATCAATATGTGGAACAAGAAGTGACAATGGAACAGCCAATATCCTACAAAGAAAATTGATGTGTTGATTTCTACTTATGATATTGATCTTAGCTATATATTCTTTTTTTTCTACTCTTGATATACATGCTCGGGTTTCTAGAACCCCATTCATATTTGTTACTGTAACTTCCGTAAAAATGGACATACTTCGATTAATTTTTTTTTCGATCGATGGAGAATTAATTAAGAAACAAGTCCATAATGTGTAAAAGTCGATAGAATTATGGAACTTCGAGATATAAATAGGTTCCAAGAAAGAGAAAAGTTTAGAAACACGAAAAGATCTTGATTGCACTGGGATTTCTGGGACCCCAGTGTGTATAGCTAGGGTTAAAATAACTAGGGTTAGTCACGACGATTATTTTACATATACTGCAATAATCGACATAATCGATAAAATTTATAATCGAAGTGATAACGGCTTTCTATACATTCCCATAATTTAACAAAAACAATGGTTATTAATTTCACCGTTATAAATTTGATTGCAGAATTATATATGGAACAATTATAAATATTAGTTTTATTTTAATAATATTAATTTAGTATTATAATTTCATCAGCAGCAACAATTTCATTTGATACCAGTTACAATATTCTATTACCTCCATATTATATTTTGTGATATTACATTTTGTAATTTGTATTCTATTTAAAATGTTATAAATTAATTGTTTTATCGACATGCAATTGATATTTTAATTTTGTTATATATAATAGCTTTTATTGTTCAATATTTATTTGCGAAAAATTATCTCTAAAATCGCAACCAAGTCATTGTAAAATTAGGAACCAGATACTTTTGTCTAACTATTTTACTAATACAGTTGGACAAACAAAACATACAATAGAGATAGGTCAGTGCATGTAAATGTGCCGTGCAAACTTTCGTAATTGTGCGGGCAACTACGAACGGAAACGGTTTGCATCTCATCGGACTATCGCGCGAAAAGTTTTCAATTGTCCTTGTTAACTTACCCGGATTGTCCGCGCGGAAGCGGAAGATGACGTAACCGTTGTTGGGAACTGCGATGGTGTCCTTACCAGGAGGCAGGTTGAATTCTCTATGCAAGAGACCTCTCTTATCGAGATCGAGGGCGTGCTTCAAATTAATTTTCTTCACATTTCTATCGGGAGAACGGCCAATACCGATCACATTGAACGCATATCCGTGCAAGTGGAAGGGATGCGATAAGTTGGGCTGTTGTACTGTAATCGACCGCATACAAAGAATTAAAAAGGGTACTTATATACACGAAAAGAACGTTTTGCTGAAGTATTTAATAGCTAGATACAGG